TTATCTCTGCCCCTCCAGGTGAACGTCCCGAAAACCCGCCGGACCTACTGCAAGAAATGCGGCAAGCACCAGCCGCACAAAGTCACCCAGTACAAGAAGGGGAAGGACTCTCTCTACGCCCAGGGTAGGGACGGGTCCGCTGCGGGGGCTCTGGGGCACGGCCCGGGGAAAGCTGCATGGGGCCCTGGTGGTCATGCCCCACACCAGGGTGATGGTTGTGGGCCGAGCATGCAGCTCTCTGAGAAGGGGGGGTTGCTTCTGATCGGTTGTGCAGCTGCAGGCTGAGGTCTGCTAGGGTTTGGTAAGAGTGCCAAGAGCGTGCTTGTAGTATGTCTTGAGTTGCTGCCTAAACAGAGCCATTTTCTCCTGTAGGAAAAAGACGCTACGATAGGAAGCAAAGTGGCTATGGGGGCCAGACAAAGCCCATCTTCCGTAAGAAGGTGAGTGCTGCTCCTGGAAAGAGGACCTGAAACTTTCTTGGCAATCCACATGCCCAACTGAAGAGGGACACTTCAGCTTCCTGCAGCCTTGTGGTAGTCCTGTGCTAAAGCTGTGTTATGGCAGCTCTATGCTGGTAGTGCTGTCCGGGGAGTGTAAATTCCCCATCCACATCTGCTCATCTTCCCTGCTGCTCCTGTCTCATGTAGATGCTCCTTTTTTTGCAGGAGTGACATAGCATGTGTTTGCAGGGCAGGTTCTGCAGGGAGCCTTGATGCTGTAGGGGAGCAGGGTCTTACTGGAAGTGATGCTTTTAATGAAAGGAGTGTTTTCCTCATTGCTTGCCAAAGGGGAAGAGTACGGCAAAGGGAAAGGGAGCCTGCTGCTTGCTTTCCTTATGCTCTTGAAGTGTCAGTAATTTATCACTGGGTATTTATTGCCAGGTTTGTGAGGCTCTGCATAGTGAGGCTGCCTTCACTGACAAGGGTATGATAATGTGAAGTGTGTAGAACTTCTGGGGGTGGTGCAGAACATGACATTGTTTTCCTGCAGTCCGCTGTCTCCAGGGAAATGCATATCGCTGAGCCGGTAAATGGGAGTTGCTACATTAGGCCTTTCCTGAGAATCTCAAAGCAGCAGTGGAAGGGCAGCAGAGCATTCTGTTACAAATAAGTTGCAGAAACCTGCTGCTGTCATCCTTCCTCTTTAGCTTGGATACCTGAAACTGTAGTCTTGCAGCATGTTTTCCCTCTGTGCCTCTACATACCTCCTGCCAACAAGTTGGGGGAACGGAGCGGGGGGAAAAATCTGTGCTATTTACAGCAGGGAAGCAAAACCCGATGGGCTGATTTGTTATAGTTTTTGTGTGAACTGTTTAGTTATGCTTATAGGGCTACTTGGCTCACTGTTGGAAGGCCTGGTGTTCTGCTGGAGACGTCCAGGAAGTCTTCCAGCAAGAAGAAAAAAATGAGACTGCAGTTTTTCAAGTTGACTTTCTGCCAGGAAGTCGGGAGGTGTCCTGGTTCTGGCTGGGACAGAG